CACAGAGGGTGATGCCCAACCCTGTCTGCATTATAGGTGATTATTTTCGTAGGCATGGTCAAAAGTGTAATATTTCATCTCATATTACAGTCACGACCGACATGTTCGGAAACGTTCACTGCCGAGCAGGCATACCGCAATACTACCTGCCTTGCGCATACAGCATATCTACCTGTTGGTAATATGCTGGTGTTGTTTCAACCCTAACCACATCCTACGTAACGGTGGTCTCGGTAGAGTGGATGTAAACTCATACTGCACCTCTGGCACGGTTTTGGTGCCAGTCGTTCAGTTCCATTTCGGTGTCATTCAGTACATTTCCACCCCTAATCATATGCGTCCTGCGCTGTATTCATTCGGCTCCAGGCGCGCACACAGGATTTTTGAATGGGGGGGGGGCACGACCTGCGAACTGGGCCCCCCATGCCGAAGCCCCCCCAAAAAAAATGCGCTACGGCCTACGTGCTTTTATTTCGGTTAACTTGAAGCTTTAGCTTTTGCCAAGGCATAGTAAAACAATTATTTCGGTACCTGTTTCATTTTCAAACATTTACGTTTTACGCTGGTACGTTTTATTCAAATGCGATTCAAAGTCGGTAAATATAATTATTTTCACGTAAAACATTCCATTAATAAGCATAGTTGCAAGGCCCTCAGAAATCGACCCCGGGCAGCGCCTGGCTGCCGCCCAGCCGACCGGCCGACCGGCCCCGGCTGGCTAGAAGCAAGGGCCGGTCACTTATTGCCCCGAAAGTGTAGGAGCGGGGACAACACTCCTTTTTCACGTTGGTATATTCGCATCTTTATGTAGGCATATCAAGAACATGTATGATTGATGGCTGTGATGAGCATTGTAAGTACAGTTATATTTACATCATTTTCACTATAATTAGGCATATTGACATGAAAAGTCATTACAACTGAATACTGATACCGGATGCGAGGTCACAGACCAGAGATCCAGCGTTCTAACTAGATATTTATTGTTCAACCGACAAATCAAATCAACAGGACTATGTACGACGTACGTCGACACCCAGGATTTTGCCCAGGAGGGGGTCACCTGCTCTCGAAGGGGCCGGGGGCCCGGGGTCAGCCCAGGCAGGGACGTATCCAGGACCTTTCGATGGGACGGGGGAACAGTCGGTCCGGTCCCACTTGCAGACGGGCCTCTCTAAAACGGTCTTAGCCCTGGGAAAATGTGGAAAATTGGCAGGTAAAATATGATTTTTACCCGATGAGTGTGCTTAATATGCACGGTATTTTACGAGCGAGCAAAGCGAGCGAGCTCCTCAGAGTCACCGGTGTTTGGTGCGCTCAGAGGTTCAGGTGAAAGGTCGTCAGATGCGCTGGTGTGGGGTCCTCACAGCCGCCGTTGCGGGGCCTTAGGGCTTAGAGGCACTGGTGGAGCCATCATTGGCATGTGTGTGGCCCTGAAAGTGGCCTGAAAGTAGAAAGTGGCCCTTCATTGACCGGCAAAGGATATTCAGAGGCTAGGCTGATAAGAGGCCCTCAGAGTCAATGGTACGTGGCCGTCAGAGGCGTTAGCGTAGGGCCCTCAGAAAATGTGGAAAGGGGTCCTCAGAGCCGCCGATGTAGGCCTTTAAGAGGCACTGGTGTAGGGCCCTTAGAGATGGCTGAGGGGCCTCGCAGGTGCCGTCGTGTGGGGGCCCTCAGAAACGCTGGTGTGGGCCGAGTGGGGCTATCACAGACGGTGTGGGGCCATTGCAGCTGATCCCTTATTGGCCGGCAAGGGTCCTCAGAGGCCGGCAAGGTCTCTCAGAAACCGGCATTGGGCCTTTTTGGAGACAAGTGTGGCTACATAGGACTTAGAAGGCCATGAGGTGCTCTCACAAGCCCTGTGCTGTCATTCCGAGTTGAAGCGCGGCCAGCGCGGACCCTCTGCCACCAATTGGCGCCGCAGGGCCCATCGGGTCCGAGGGAACCCTAAACTCGAGAACGGGCACGTGCCCCTTGCTCCTTGGCTATGCCACTGACTCCAAGTGATCAGGGACCTGTTAGGTAATCAGGGGCCTCTCAAGTGACCAGGGGCTTTCAATTGATCAGGGTCCCACCAGGTGACCAGGGGACCCTCAGTAACCGGGGCCCCCTCAGATAACTGCAGTAGTCCCTTAGATAACCAGGGGCCGGCAAGGTCTCTCAGGGCCGTTATTGCCAAGCCGCTATTGACGTCAGGTAAGAGCCCTTTGACACCAGCTGAGGGCCCTTTCAGGCCTTTTGAGGGCCGTTTAGCGTCAGTTAAGGGCCCTTTGAGGCCTTCTAAGGGCCCTTTGAGGCCTTTTGATGGCCGCTTGACGCCAGCTGTGGGCCGTTGGACTCCAGCTGAGGACCGTTTGAGGCCTTCTGATTTTCATTTGACGCCAGATGAGGGCCCTCTGACACCAGCTAAGGGTCCTCTAGGCTCTAAGGCCTAAGAAGGGCCGTTTGCCGCCAGCTCAGGGCGTGCTGACATCAGCTGGGGGCCCTCTGACGCCAGCTCAGGGCCCTTTGACGCCCTTTAAGGCCTTCTGAGGTCCGTTTGATGTCATCTGTGGGCCCTTTGAGGCAATCTGAGGGCCCTTGGAGGCCATCTGTGATCTGAGGGCCCTTTCACACCAGATGAGGGCCATTTGACGCTAAATGAGGGCCCTTCGAGACCATCTAGGGGCCCTGTGACACCATCTGAGGGCCTTTTGAGGCGTTTTGAGGGCCATTGAAATTTAACCACATTCACATTGGCTGCGCTACTGTGTATTTTATGAACTCATATGAACCTACTGGGGCACGAGACGGGCCCTCCCGGTCTTTTCAATAATTATTTCAGCTCATTTTTACACGGTCTTCGGAGGTCTAAGGATTAGGGGCCCATTTGAGGCGGCCTTCGGCCGCCTCAAATGGGCCCCCCGAACTCGAATGGGGGGGGGGGGCACGGGCCCGTGTGCCCCCCCCTTGTGTGCGCCTTTGTTCGGCTCCCCTGTGAGGCTCAGTGCAGCGAACAAACAGCGGTCACAAGCACCAAACCAGTTTTGGACGGAGTGTCGGGGGTCGACCTGCGGTTTCATATTGGTGCAGTCATCCCGGCCAGCTCAGCTCCGGGTCGAGAGGGCGGGGAGGGAGGGAGGGGGGGGGGCGTGGTGGCTGCTGTCGCTGCTATTGTTGCTGATCAGAGTGTGTAACGGCGGCTATAATGCTTACATGATATCACGCAGTACATTCTCGGAGTTGGGGAGAACTGCCAAATTGATCTTCGCCACACCATATGTCTATCAGTTCAATGTCATATTTCGCTCGTAAGTGTGGCATTCATCGTATTTCGTCAGCTGCAGCTCAATAGTATATAACGTGGCGACGTCTGTATAGGGCGTCGTCGATTCCATATCCCATATGAATCGCTTAGTTGCATGTATGTTACGTATCGTTTCTTTGAGAATCATGGTTATCAATAAAAAAATGTTGCAATTGGCCTTATGATCTAACTATCGAAAAAATCCATTTCAGATTATTTTTTCTAATATTAGCTTAAGGTCAATTCTAACATTTTTATTCGCATGACTCTTCGCAACTCTCCACAGAACTTGGCCCTTTCTCTGTCTTACAGAACGATGGCCATAGTGATTCTGTGCAGCCAGTACCTGCGGGATTTCAACATTCTGATCCCCCGCTGTCGACGAGGCGCCGACTCGACCGAGTCGCGGTGGATGCGGGTGCCCGTCTTCAAACTGTTCCCGGTGAGGCTCCGCGGGTTGTGAGAAAATGCGCATTTGTGAACTATTCGGTCCTGCCGATATCATGCTTTCTTGCCATGATTGAATGACCGATAATCACGTATTCGTTTTCATATTATCTTTTCTTGGGTATTTTGATTCATGTTTATCATCTCATACCGCAGAGATGACATAAAACCGCAATGCCGTGCCTGAACGTATCGTAAGGAGTGAAAGCTATTTCCTATGCAAAGTTTGAGACAAAGTCTTATTACCTCGCGGCTTTCTGGAATGTGAAAAATCATTGCCGTTGAATGCCCAACGCCCGGCTACGGGCATTTTGAAGTTCAAGGACGGAGCGGCAGATTATCTTGTTGCGATTCAAGCTTTTTATTCAACGGCTTTCCTGCTTCTACCGAAGCTCAAGGGCGAATGCTTGCTGCTTTGTGCTCTGGTGTTTTTTTTTTCTGGGTGATGAACGCAAGTAGGTTAAGGGCATGTAATTAATTCTTTTTTTCTTGTCGGGATTCTCATTTTTCACTGAACAATTTTACGAACGAGTGTGCATACGGTGGCATACGCATGTCTTCCGGCACCTGACTGTCAACTGCCTCCCAAATCCGCCAAACGCTGACTGTCGCACCCCGTCCGTCTCTTTCTTCAGATCCTGTTTGGTATCGGTGTGGCCTGGTCACTCTGTGCCATCCTCACGTACTGTTTCACTCCGTCCGTCTCGTCTTCAGATTCTGTTTGGTATCGGCGTGAGCTGGCTGCTGTGCGCCATCCTCACGTACCACGACGTGCTACCGGCCGACTCCCCAGCCCGCACCGACCTCCGACTCTCGGTGAGACAACAGCGATAGGACATTTGTAATTCTTCGGGATTTTAAACTCAAATAGCAATCTTGTAGAATGTAGAGCTCGTTCCCTAGCCAGATTTTAACCCTATTAGTGGCAGGCTCCTGGCTACCCCTATTAGTGGCAGGGGGGGGGGGCTGTTTACGACCCTCCCCTGATATCTCGAGATCTAACGGGCCGATTTTCAAAATTCAAACGGCATTCGATTTCGCTCAACGTGATCTACATTTCTAAAAAATAAAAGTTAAAAAATGTCAATAGGGGGGTAGAGGGGGATAAAAACGGGCAAATTGCAGATACATTTTAGACTGTTTATCACGGCCAGGTTTCTGAACCAATCTTAACGCAACTTTTGCCGATCGATAGAGAATGAACCAGGAATTCACATGGATCCTAAAAATATGCATTTTCAAAAATCATAGGCGGATACAGATCATTGAGATTGGGAGTACACCAAAAGTATAGTAAATAAGGTTTTTGTTGGTACTGTTTCTAAAAAGGGTGGTAATGGTCTTGTTATGTTACAATTTTCTTATGAGAGAACGACTACAATTGTATTGGTCATGCATAGGCGGTGTCAGGGCACCTATTTTGGGAGGTAAAACATAACCCCCCCCCCCTTTTTGGACGCCTGGATCCGCCTATTATAGCAAAAACGTGTCAAAAGAGGATGCACAATAACTTTGTATATGTTATCACATGATACCTTTCATTCACTGAACAGTGAATGAAAGGTTTTACGAACATTCGTAAAACTGGTGCATACAGTTATAATACATCAGCATCGTGATCTTCGCCCAAATGACTCGCTTCACGAATAGGACCCCCCAATTCCCAGTGCTCTGGAGCCGCCCCTGGTAGAGTTATGAACTTGAAATTTTCAGGGAATGTGCCCAATTTAGTTTTAGGAAAAGTCATAAAATTTCAGCATCGTAGCTTCAGCGGTTTCGGAGATATCCCCGAAAAACCTGAGGGGTGGATGAAAACAACCCCCCCTGCCACTAATAGGGTTAATAACGATCTTAAATCGTATGCATCGGGTGTTTGCTGAAGAGCGAGGTGAAGTTCTGAACAATAACTCGCTTTTTTATAAACTAGATCAAGGATGTGTCTGTAATATCAGTGATTGTCTCTATTCTTACGATTAAGTGGACTACCAGCAGTTGATTTGTACGCTAGTGTGACGGAATATCCTCCCTCTTCTGTACCGCTCGCCTCCACCCCTCCCCTTTCATCCCATGTCCTATTAACTCCCCTCTCTGTGTCCAGGCTCTGCGCGAGGCGGCCTGGTTCCGGCTGCCCTACCCAGGTCAGTGGGGCGTACCCTCTGTCCACATCGGACCCGTGCTTGGCATGCTGGCAGGCGTCATTGCATCAATGATCGAGTCCATCGGAGACTACTACGCCTGCGCTAAAATATCTGGTGAGTTGGAGTGTTGTGTCACCACGTAGTTCTCGGGTCAAACTGGAATTTTAGTCGGGAACTTGCTGCACAATTTTTATGTATTAAGCTCGAATTCGCAAAAGAGTGCAATGAAAGCAAGCGGGCTGTTATATTTTTTTATGCGTTCATGGCAAATAAACAAAAAGCTGTACCTATTGTTCTGTAAATATTTGTATTCCACGCCATGATGAAATAATGTGGGACCTCAGAGTATGTTGAACATCGGTTGGCCCCATAGCAAAGCAGGATTATACCTGACGTTAAGCCCGGTTCTCACTGAGCGAAGAGCAAACGTAACGTCAGGCAAACGTAGGTGAAACGCAGGGTTTCGTTTACGTTTGTTGAGCGCTCAGTGAGTACCGGGAAACCGCGTCAGGCTTGTTCAACTTCAATACACATTCCGTTTCGCCTATGTTTCCCTACGTTTGCCTGACGTTACGTTTGCTCCACGCTCAGTGAGAACCGGGCTTTAGCCGTATCACGTCCCCCTAGTCCCGATTGACCAGGGCCGTACCTTAGGTCAGCCTATACCACCTACCCTCCCCCGAATCCCGACTGACCCGGGCTGTACCTGAGGTCAGCTCGCACCACCCCATCCCCCCCCCCCCGATTCCCTACTGACCCTGTGACCGTCCCCTATCATTGGCAGGCGCGCCGCCACCGCCGGTACACGCCATTAACCGCGGTATCGGCATGGAGGGCCTGGGCTGCTGCCTGGCAGGTCTGTTTGGGACCGGTAACGGTACCACCAGCTACAGCGAAAACATCGGCGCCATCGGCATCACTAAGGTATGGCGTAGACTGGCGGAGCGACGGGGAAAGGATGGAGGGTACAGGTTGTCTGGGGCTGGCTAGTGTAGAGGTCTAGTGGGAAGCAGTGCAATAAGATTGAGATGTGAATTGTCAGACAGTGGACATTTCTTGCTGTAGAAGCATGATTATGCTTTGTCAGAATCGGATTTAGAGCATAAGTTTGATCATAGATATAGTAACACGAATCATGTTATCTATGGTTTGATCAATGAGTACCAGCTCCGCAGCTGTTGTCAGCAGGCACTGTCTCTAACCCCGCGTTCGATGTCTCCCGGACGGCGAAGATTCTATGCCGTCCGGGCCCAAAATGCCGTTCGATGTCGCACGGACGGCAAAGATTCTACGTGACGTCACGTAGAATCTTTGCCGTCCGCGCAGAATCTTTTGAGCGTACTACGGTGGGCAGAGAGGCAATGATGGCGCGTATTTCAAAAGCGGCGCAGCAGCTGTTTACAGAAGTTGTTGACATTTGCAGACATTTGTGCGTGGTCTCTATGGAAACGTAAACTTGGGCCTTTTTCGAAACTGACGCACACTGTGTAAGTGGCGCACAAAATGGCCGGTCTCGTCGTCCGACTGTGTGCTTCATCGAACGCAAAATAGAATATTCTGCGTAGAATGTTCTTCGTCCGAGGAGACATCGAACGCGGCCTAAATGTTCTTTAACCCGCGAGTTACTGGGGGGGGGGCGTTAAACGCCCCCACTTTTTTCGCCGGGCCATAGCATAAAAACGGCGCGCCGCAGGCGCGCCAAATTTTGGGTACCTATAGGGAATTGATTGAAGCTTATTGTGACAAAGTTTCAAAAAAAATCGGTTGGAAAATTTTTGAGATATCGAGGTTTTAGTGACGTCATGATTTCTGAGTTTTCGACCAAAAACGACATATGTTCAAAAAATCATATAAAATCACAGAATAGACATACAGACATGCCGTGAACGCCGTTAGACTGCCAATACCATGAACAATCAAATGGCTATCTTCGATTATTGATTATCGTTCCGCATTTTCCAAAATCTTGAACTAAATCTGGGCAATTTCTCGTGACTGCTTCACGACCATGATACATGCATTTCTTAAATTGAACTTTTTGAGCCAAACACGTATACATATGATAAAATGAATGTCACCATCGTGTTCTACGCCCCAAATTACCCATAAAACATGTGTCACAGGCTGCGAATATCAGTTTTGATTTTTGGGGATATGTGCCTACCCGGTTGACCTGACCTTGACCCTGACCTATGCTTGACTGACCCCTACATGGAGCTGACACTCTTTTAGGCTTTATATGATGGATTGTGCACCGTTTTGACAGAGTTTGTGACGAGAGGCGCCCATTGCAAACTCCTGAGGTCCATGCTACTGAAAGCCCAATTTCAGGTGTTTGACCTGACCTTGACCCGACCTGTGACCTCAAAATTCAACTTTAAAGTACTCATCTGAAGCGTCTCGTCGCGCTCTTTCGTTTGCCGCCTCGTGCGTTTCGCTGCGCCTATTGGTTCTCGAGTTATCGGCTGGGGGCGTTTAACGCCCCCCCCCCCCCCAGCAAACGGTGGGTGGCGAAATACCCCAGCAACTGCCGGGTTAACCTAAGCAATAAGCACAGTACCACGAAGTATAACTATCATGTCTCCGGTACGGCCAGTTTTCTTTACGCCGTGTGCTAACGGCGCCCCCTATGATATAACGTACAGGTGAGCAGCCGTCCCGTGCTGCAGTGGGGCGCCCCTATCATATCATAGTGGCGTCGTACGGGCGTCCTGATTGCAATGATGTTCGTTGCCCTGCTATGATGGTGGTTTTACGCCCTTGGTACGCCCTCATGAGGGTGTTCGTACATCCTGATTGAGGATTTTCCGGTCAGGTGGCCAGCCGCCGAGTTCTTCAGTGGGGCGCCCTCATCATGATGGTGTTCGGCACGATCGGCAAGTTCGGCGCCCTGTTCATCACCTTGCCGGACCCCATCGTGGGTGGCATGTTCATCATCATGTTCTCCATGATCACTGCTGTCGGTGAGCAGACGAATGCTGTTTCAACGGACTGAACTGTTGCCGGCCCGGCCTCGTGCCGACAGCCGGGAGGCTGATGGCTGCAGTCTGTCTTAGCTCGTTGTTTCTCATCCATTGTTATCGTTCATAGTTCGTTGTTGTCTTCTCAGGTTTCATCAAATAAGTTGAGTCCTGAGCGTATATAACCGTCATCCGATCAATAACATTTATCAGATATTTTATGTCCATGCTCTTTATATTGGCCTTGGTGTCGAGGGCTACATCTTGTTTCATCCTTAAACGTTCAGATAGCGATAGGTATACTTTTTTGTTTTAGCTGTATTTTAACTGCCGTGTTTTGCATGTTTCAGGGCTTTCATCACTGCAATTCGTGAACCTGAACTCGTCTAGGAACCTGTTCGTCTTAGGATTTTCCATATTTTTCGCATTGGTGAGTATTCACGAACCCTTTAGCTCGGTCAACACGGAAGTAAACTGCTTCCAAACGGTCCGCCTTTTTACATTCCTAATCCGGCCTCAAAACTGCATGCCTGATAATGTCTGTTTGTCGTCGTCTTAAAACATGCATTGTAAATGTTTCAAGCTGAACATCCGAACAGCGAGGCCCGTCATGCATGTCTCGACCGGCTGCTGTCCTGATATTTGTTCTTTCAGTGTCCTGTATCAGACATAATGGACGTCGTGCTCAGTGCATCCTTTTATCATGCTACAAGCTGCCTACATGTTCAGACATTGTATGCTTTCATCACGCTACAGGTGTTGCCGACCTACATGTCGGAGAACAAGGATGTGATCAAGACGGGCAGCGCGGCGTTCGATCAGATCCTGTACGTGCTGCTCTCTACCAGCATGTTTGTGGCTGGCTTCCTGGGCTGTGTGCTGGACAACACCATACCCGGTGAGAGGCTGGCGCAGAGCAATGCGCTGAAGACATCGGGAGGGGTGGGACTGAGTGGACTCGTAGGAAAAGTTGGTGTTAAGTCAGCTGTAAGTTTGAGGAATGTTTCGGCAATTTTTGTGCGATTGACTGACGGAAAAAATGCCGGTGTATTATTTGAATCTGCCGAATCAACCAGCACATTGCTACGGACTTGAGTTTCCAATTATGTGTACTGTACTGATGAAGTTGATACGGGATCAGGGGCGCAGGTGATCCGTTGGCGATTTCCAGTCAGGCGTGACAAAGTGACGCAGGTGTCGCTAGCAGCTCAGCTCTGCCCAGACTAATTGTCATCGGTCCTCGCTCTCCGCTTCTCAACACCCCTCTGATGCCCTCTGTCCCACCAGGCACTGATGAGGAGCGCGGCGTACTCAAGTGGAAGAGTCAGAGCCACATGTCGCACGTGACCGTATCAGTCACCACCTACGACCTGCCGTTCGGCATGGACAAAATCCGCAGGTACGGGTCGCTCATTGACTATTGAACGATTTCCTCCCAGTCGCGACCCGATAAGCGTGGATTACTTGTGCTCTTGACGTGGTTTGATTTGATCCCGGGTTGCGAATGAAAATTGTTCGCATATGATCTTAGCTGCTTGTTTCTATTTCCGTTTACGATTTAGCGCACGCTGAGAAGCAACAAATTTCCCTCCGTGATTATTAGATGTCGCAGAGTCCGTAGCCTATCTTCAACTGAATGTGACCGTACCACTTATGCCCCGTTGTGCCACCCATGCCCTCCTTGTGACCGTTACCCCTTTCACAGCTGGAACTGGGCGCGGTACGTGCCCATCAGCCCTACGTTCCGCGGCTTTCCCGTGGTTCTGAACTTCTCAAAACCCTTCCGGCGGTGCCGGGGCTCGGAGGCCGGCGACGAGGACGAGCGTCCTTAGCAGTGGTGTGACCACCGACCCTAAGACTGCAAGACTCCGTAGAACACCGCCCGACCGCTCCCTCCTTCCAACCAAGCTGCCTTTAGTTTCGAATGTCCATGAGCGCAACAACCGCTGGGTGTAGAGCAGGCGCGGTGTCACATTTTACAGATATGGCGTGCTCTGGTTAGTGGAAGGTGTCTTATCGCATGATTGGCAGCTGCTATAGACTCTGCAAGCATTCAAATATCATTCCATAAGAGTGGCAAAGTTCACTATCTTCCGTGGTGACCTGCGAGGATTCACGAGCTTGCCTCTCAATCATAGAATCTCACCGTAACGGGAGCCTTTGAATCGAAGAATCTCTCCGTAACGGGCTGCTAAAAGGCTATGGACGAAGTAGAGTGGAGTATGTAATATGTGATGTGGTCCGGAACGGTGGTCTTATGGTAACGTGAGCGCCATGTCAGTTCAGGAAGTTTAAGTTCAGAGACCCTGATGTCCTCAGCGGAGCAGTCTGGTCGTCTTTTTTATCGATCACGATGTCTATCACGTTATAAGATTAGATGCATACCAATTGATATTTTTAACAAATGAGGCGAGGCTGCTGATCAGGTTTGGCATGGTGGTGTTTTGGTTTTATTTTTGCACGTCATGCGAACCAATTGCCATGCACCTGTGCTCTATTTTTGTCGATGACTGCAGTGCTCACGAACATTGACAGCGACATTCCATGTAACATTCCCAAATGGTCAGTGTTTGTATATCGCATTGAAAGGGTACGGTCGTTACGTGCGAGCATATTGTGGACCTGGGACCAACGCCCGTTGGAGATGTACCTATAGGTACCAATGTGAAAGTGATGCAAATACATGTCATAACAAGTTTAAATCCGATTTTAGAGGAAACTCTGTTCGTTTTCAGACCGCCCATGCAGTGTCAGTCACCAGCGCACTTTGCTACATGCCTGAAGCGCAGTCCTACCATATTATCACATTCGACCCACAGATCCGCAATAGAGACTTGGGACCACAAGAGCTTGGAAGAACGGCCTTGCCAATGACGCGGATGATATGATTAGCTCCTTGACTATGGGTCTGTTCCAGTCGCACTTCCAACACCTCTAAACTCCTCCAAGATTGCTTCCCTGTTCCAGTGGCAGCTCTAGCCCTACAAAGCCAAGGACGGGCCTGCTCCAACCTCCTGTATCTTGCTCTTGGAGGAGTTTAAAGGTGTTCGGAAGTGCGACTGGAACGGAACCTATGACTGGATCTATCAGCCCACGCCACTTTTCCAAAACGTCGGTTCCTCACCTCTGGTCAGCGTGTATTGACCACTGTCCAGACAGTCACACAGACACACACACACGTACCGTATATATCCACTGTACACACACCGCGCACATACAGACACACACACACGCACAGACGCACGGACCGGCCTCTCGGGGCGGGCCGGCTGGAATGGTAGTGGGACGGAGCGGTTACACCAGGTACGCGACAGCGCAGCCGCCGCCGACCGCCGCGCGACGGCAGACTGGAATGGGCCAACGCGGACGCTCTATCGCGCCCGGGGGATGACTACCACTGACGGTCAGACAATGGGTATTCACAATGAACGCGAGTTTGGCACCGGTCAGTGCCCACAGGACTCGGCTTCGGCGAATGGAAACGCCCGCGGCGGACAGTGGCGGATGGACTGCTGTTAGAGGGAGAGAGTGAAGGGAGAGCAGGAGAGCTATGATACGGGGAGGCAAGGAGGAGAGAGCACAGGGGAGTCGAATCCCAGAGAAGGCACCGGGAAAGAGAGCGGGATATGGAAGTCACGGCAGGGTGGGGTCACAAAAGGTGGAAGGCACGCATCGCATAGTCTGCTCAGTGCCCATGGTCCCTTGGCAGGAAAGTTCAATCACGCAATACACAGGTATGGAGTTGGCAACTGACGGCAGGATCAGAAAGGCACAGGCACATGTTAGTGACATTCGTGTAATGCTCAGGAAGGCACGGTCCCACTGGAATAATCATGGACGGAACAAGCGACACACAGACCCACTGAGATGCGCGGAAGACCTCGGGTCCGGAAACCTGACCAGCCGAGCTGCCATTGGAATGCTGAACATGACTCACATGCAATACCATCAGAAAACACGCATCAATGCAAGAGAGCTTGCATGCTATGAAAGAGATGCCTCACAAGCTCCCACGTAACGTAAAGCCCGGTTCTAATCGTTCTAGCCAGCAGAAAGCGAAATATACAGTAAACAACAGACAGATTCGTAGGACAGCTGACAGCAGACAGGCAGCGAAAAGAACATCCGCTCATACCGTTCCACGCACGGGGATGGGGTTAGAGGCTGGCGAGCCAGTTTGCTAAGCCACAACTGAAGACCGGCCGAGGTCCGGGGCCTCAGCCGCTCGCACGACACACACAGTCTAACAGTGACGAACGCGGGGTAAATAACTGGATAAAATAGAGAACAGCCATCATATCGGAGTTATAAGTACACTGGTTCAGCGGAGGGCGGAGCCCGCGACGGCAGGCGACGCCCACGGAGGGAGTTGCCACCAACCAAAGGCGCGCGCAAAACAAATTGGCACAAAACACGTCGCACGAAGCTGGCTAACCTTTTCAAAACCTCTTCCCATAAAACTTCTGTGGGAGACAGTTTCCACACACGTAACAAAATGCAGCACACAAACACGGTACGGTTCACTTGTAAAACAGGAGGGGAAAAAACGCTAAAACACAAATATACTCCTCGCAGACCTGCGGGCCGAGCTGTAGGTGTCCTGGTGTGTGGGGTTTGCCGTGAAGCCACATAATTACGCATCGCCAAACACACACACCTTGGTCGGTAGCTTGTCAGCAGCAACCGCGGCACCAGTCAGGCGGCACAACTCGGAGTTCACATCACCGCTCGCCATCATCCACCGGCCAGCCGCCCGCCTGTCGGGACCGCCCCTCCAGCGGTGGCGGGGGCGGGGGCGGCTCAGAGCTCGGTGGTGATCACCGTACGCCTCTCGATCCGCAGTGGCTCAGACAGGTCGGCGCCACCCACATGCCACGGTGACAGGGTCGAGTTGCTGCGCATCACTGAGGCCGTGGGTCCCGTGGGGGCGGTGGCGCGCGCGGCGGCAGCGGCGGACGAGTGGCTTCGGGTCACCGCCGAGCTGGCCTGGTGGTCCGACTGGGGGCGGGGGAGAGGGCGTCAGCAGGGCGAATGGTGCACTACAGAGCCGATGGTACGGGACTTTGATAGTGTAAAAGATGGGTCATCTGTCTATTTTCCTCGCTTTAGGAACAGTGATGGTAAAGAGAATGGCGAATGGTCATAGGTGCAGTAGGAGCTAGGTTGACACATCTAGGAATTTCCAGTACAGAACGAGGTAGGTATAGTTCGTTTTTTTCAAAAGGACGCTGGCTCCAAGTATGTTTTTCGAACAAGCACGTGTTTTAGCCGCCAAAACGAGCAAAAACTGAACCTGAGAAAATCGAACGTCGACTAATTTCAACATGTGATTTCTTCCCGATAATTTCCATATGTGCGTTTTGGAACCAGATATGGGAACAGTGGTGACGTCATGCTGTCTAACGTGTATTGCAATGTAACGTATAACTATCATGGACGGAACCGCTTACTCGATTATGCTCGGCAACAGTGAAAAGCTAAGTTTCACCCAAATTCGTTGACACTTGTCCCATTGCACGGACATTTGGGTGCCTGCTGCCACCAGTGACGTCATCATAGTATGTTCATTTTTAAGAAACAATTTCCAGCTACTTACCGTGCACAATTTGAAATCGATTATTTTTTCGGTAAGAAATTCTTGGCCAGACACTGAAGCTGCCAAAACTCACGTGAGAGCTTCGATATTGCACTTTGAGCCAGCGTCCTTTTGAAAAAAAACGAACTATAGTTACAAACAGGGGGCTGTCATCCCGAGCTTTCCTATGTGCCGGGCGCCCGACTGTTTAACATTACCCGTGACGTCACGGGGGCGTACACTTGTCAGCTGACCTTCCCCGCAAGTTTGGCCTTGAATACGAGTTTGAGGGTCACGATTTTAAACAAGTTCCTTTCCGGAAACGTTCCGGAAACGCTGGAAACGTTGTCATGTCATCCTTTTATTTTCCAGAAATGGCTTCATCACTAATTTGCGCCTAAAATCACTTTAAGCATAGGCTCCTTAAAGGGACCCTCCCACCTTAACATTAGTTTTGAGTTGAGATAGCCAAGTTTGCGGCCAGGCTCAGAGACCACCATTTATCCTGGTCGCAACCCCCGCAGCTTTATGGTGTTCAAGAAATTTCTTCCCTTTACTTGCAGGGTGGGACCAGCGTGGTCCCTATCTCTAAACCATTACGGGAATCTGATGACGTCAGCAGGCTTTCGAACGTCCGTTAAATGTTTGACTAAAACGTTTTGTAGCACGCGGTGGTATATGCTTCGTTGCGCGCAACAAATGCCGCACTTTTAAATAAAGTCGCTAGGAACAGCGGAGATCCCAAAAAGTAAACAAAAGTAAAAGTCTAATATCTTGAAAACCGGTGAATATTTTTCGATGAAATTTGGTAGATATTCGTTTTCGCTCTTTCTGAACCGAGCGACATCACTTTCATGCCAATTCATAAACTTTTTTGAAGGTGGGAGGGTCCCTTTAACGCTTTCCTAATTGTAAAGTGTTGCATTGTCTGCATGGTGAGGAGAACGCTAACCGGTCAGAAGGGCGATGTGTTGTGAGGAGGGCGCCGACAGGTCAGGAGGGCGCTGTACGATGAACGCTGACTGGTCGGGAGGGCGATGCATGGTGATGAGGGCGCTATGCGTTGCAAAAGGCGCCGGCTGGTCAGGAGGGCGCTGAACGCGAAGATGTCGCCGACAGGCGAGGAGGGCACTAACAAGTCAGAAGGGCACTGCACGGTGATGAGGGCTGCGACAGATCTGGAGGACTCTGTCCGTGAAGAGGGCGCCGACAAGGCAGCAGGGCGCTGTATGGTGGGGAGAGCGCCGACAGATCAGGAGGGCGCTGTGTGGTGAGGAGGATGCTGTACGATGAGAAGGGCACTATACGAGTGAAGAGGGCGCTGACAGGTCAGGAGGACACTGTATAAAGAGGAGGGCGCGGACAAGGTGAGATCACCGTTCCATGCTTCTATCCTCAGGATACTGAAATCCTTCTCCTCCACGCCGCAACCCCCCTCCGGGCTGGACAGGCAACTTAATCTCATGCGGGCTGCTCCCTTGGAGCGGCACCGCTGCTCCCGAGGGAGCGCACCCCGTAGCCGGGTGCAGTGAGTGCCTTGGGGCTGGGTGGCCTATCCTCTGGACGGGCTCAGCCCCGGCGACTCACTAGGGTGCCTGCCCAGATCAATGTCTCCCCCTATATCCTATCATCCTCCCGGCTCTGAAATGGTCTAATTGGACCGAAAGGGCCTAACCCAACAAAACAAACAAACAAAAGACAAGGTGAGGAAGGCGATGCACGGTCAGGAGGGCGCCGACAGATCAGGAGGGCCGTCTACGGTGAAAAGGGCACCGACTTGTCAGGAGGGCGCTGAACTGAGAGGGCGCCGGTCTGGAGGGCTTTGTATGGTTAGGAGGCCGCGATACAGTGAGGAGGATGGCGACAGGTCAGGAGGGCACTGTACGGTGAGGAGGACGCCATAATACCTACGATAGGCGCTGCCAGGTCAGGAGGGCGCTGACATGTGTGGAGGGCGAGACAGATCAGGAGGATGCTGTGTGATAATGTCCATGAGGGCGCTAACTGGTCTGCCCGGAGGGCGCCGAATGTGAAGAGAGCGCCGACGACCAGGAGAGCGCTGAAGGGCGAGAAGGGCGTCGACAGATCAGGAGGGCGCCGAGCAGACAGAGGGCGCTGAAGGTGAGC